AGAGGAGGGATTGAATAAATAGGGCATGATCACTACTGCCTGTGGGCCTGTGCAATTTGACAATCACCTGCTCTTGAGAAGGTATTAAAAGCCTCACTTTAGCCATACTTCTGTCTCTGAGTCCCTTATCTAAATTCAGACATGTGGTTATTTCTCGCAGAAGGGAGAGCCAACGGGAATTGTTGAAAGCCTGTGAGGGGAGGCTGAAGTATAAGCAAAGTCGAGATCATTACCAAGAGCGAGATCTGCCGTGTTAATGAGTTTGGCTTGTATCCTCAGATAACACTGCCCTACAGTGAGAGGCTTTGGGGTTAGACAGCACGGTTCAAATCTCTTCAAAGATAGAGGCCTTTATCAGCTTATTTATCTGATGATGTGTCTGTCTCCTCATCTCTAAGATGGAGAGGGAGCCGCCCACCCCAGAAGGCAACTGTGAGAATGTAAGTGCTTCTGAAATGCCGAGCGCACTGCTTCCCGTTCACCATGCTCTTGCTGTGCCATAGCCATTACTATTAATACAGCTGTGGGGAGCCACTGAAGCATTTTTAGCCACCAAGTGCCAAGTTCAGATGTGCACGGGAGAGAGCACTCTAGCAACAGTGTGACTTGGATGGTGAAAGGAAAAGAGTTAAAAGTCACGCTCTTGCTTCAAAACCTTTGATGACCTCATAAAGACTGCAAAATAGAAGCCAAATTTGCTCTGACATTCAAACCCTACATCATTTGGCTCAATCCAACTTTACTTTTATCTCCTTTCCTCCTGCAATGACCCTATTCAAACCACCCTCCAGCCATCCTGGTCGCAATTTCCCTACCCTCTGTTGGATTTCCAACTTCTGAGCTTTGGCCTCCTTCTGATTAAATGCCCTTCTAATTATCAGAGGCCAATGCAAATTCCATTTGCTCCAAGAAACTTCCCACATTCCCCAGCCAGGATTAACCCTTCATCCCCTATTGACCTAGCATTGCCCATCTATGCTCAGTCTCAATCCTCTCCCCATCATTGGAGAAATCCCTCCACCCACCAGAAGAGGCAAGAGGCAAGACCCAAGGGGATAAATGATAGGATTAGTAGAGCCCATCTGGGGTTTCTCCTCCATCCCTTGAAAATGAAATAGCAGCCGAAACCGGTTTGGCTCAGCGGTAGAGCATCAGTCTGCAGACTGAAAGGTCTCAGGTTCGATTCCGGCCAAGGGCATGTACATTGGTTGCAGGCACATCCCCGGTAGGAGATGTGCAAGAGGCAGCTGGTTGATGTTTCTCTCTCATCGATGTTTCTAGCTCTCTATCTCTCTCCCTTCCTCTCAATAAAAAAATCAATAAATGTATTTTAAAAAACGACTTTAAAAAAAGAAATTGAAATAGCAGGCCACAGTAGGCACTGGAAACACAGAACCCTCGAGATTTGGGTGTAGAGCTGGTGCCTTCCAAAGCTGCCTGATGCTGAGGCTATGAGGAAGCAGGAACCAAGAGCCTTATGGAGGGAAATGGAACAGACTTGTAAAGAGATGTAGAGACAAGATTCTGTGTGTGGTTGGGTCCAGAAGGAATGAGAGGAAAGGAGGAATGGGGGGGGGGGGGGAGAGAGAGAGAGAGAGAGAGAGAGAGAGAGAGAGAGAGAGAGACACCTTTCCCAAGTTTCTGAAAGATCACCAGCTGCAAATTTTGCAGCAAGACACTCTTTTAAATATACATATATAATTTTATTGACTTCAGAGAGGAAGAGAGGGAGAGACAGCAATGATGAGAGATAATTGATCAGCTACATCCTGCATGATATGACCCACCCCGGGAATTGAACCCATGACCCAGGCATATGCCCTGACCGGGGATCAAACTGAGACCTTCTGGTTCATAGACACTCAATTATTGAACCACGCCGGCCAGGCACAACACACTCTTAACATCAGTTAAGTAGATATATGTCTGCACCCTCCTCGACCTGGCGACAGGGATTCCGTCCTGTTCATTCAGTGTCCCCAGAACCCGGCACATGCTGGGTGCTCAAAAAGCGGGTGAATTTGAATTCTGACAGTCCACAAAAATGGTTTAATTTATCATTTTTAGGCAATCGTCCTAAACTTCTCTGCTTTTCACCATATTTTGCTATACTTACATTATTTTATATAGGAATATATAAGTACATTTTTATTATGTTGGTTTTCATTCATCCTACTTCCAAACTCTCCATATTTACATGGCTTGGCCTGAAAGATTCAGAGTTTAGTAGCAGAAGTGGTCTATGCCTCCCTCTAGTTGGTGAGAATGCTTATCTTACATCTTCCAGTATTCAGCAGCCTTTACCCTTGAAATAGATACTTCCCATGAAGGCTGTTGGGGCAGCTTAATTTCAGTGATGTCATTTAAGCCTCATAAAAAGGTCAGCATGAAAGCTAAGTACCTTCTTCCTTCAAATACCTACACAGAATCATGGCTTTTCAGAGCCGGGGCCAAAGTTCTCAGACTCTGGAGTTTCTATGAACCAGCATTAATATTAAAGAAGAAGGGGGAGGGGGGGAAGGCTGCTGGATTGATATTCTTCCAGGGAATGCCATGAAAAACAACTAAGCTTCTAGTAACACAGCATCGCTTCATGCAATGCACAAACCGGCCCCAACAATAAGGAATTTCCAGCTCCAAATGGCAACAGTGCTGAGGTTGAGAACTCCTGGATTAGCTGATGACTAGAGAAAGGCATAGCAGCAAAGCCCCAAGTTGGCAGGCATGTGCAGGTGGAAACCATGGGATGACTGCCCAGGTGGGCTCTGATGGGTCAGCCGGTGGGGGGCTAGACCAGTGAACTCAGACCTGGGCGGGATGGTGGGACAGCGTCATCACCCACTGACATGCTGATTTTTAAATGGGATACACCGCATAAAGTGCTTCACGCTGTGCCTGGCGCACAGTCAGTTCTCTATAAATAGCACTACTATTATTGTAAGTGTTCAACTAATGCTGCCATTTTTAACACAGGGGGGAAAGTATTTTTATCTTCCTGAAAGGTGTGCTGAGCTCCTTCATGGATTTGGAGTGCAACCCTTAGGAGACAAGATTTGCCGGGGAATCAACTGCCTCTAGAAGGATTTCAAAGATTTGAGATTCCCAGAGGTAATCCATCTGGGGAGTAAGAAAGAGGGGGGAGGCGGAGAGGAGAGGGAGGACCCCTTCCCATGAAGAACAACCACCTCCCTTGTGGGTGAGGAGGTGGCGGAAAACTATTTTAAGATGTAGGACAGGTCAATATACAGCTTGAGGCTGTTGTATCTTGTATCGATGCATCATGAGGAACGATTCGTCTGCTCCACCCCATCTCTAGCTTCTGTGACATTTTCTACGATGGTGCATGGGTTTTATAAACTAGGTTTTTGGTGGAAATCAAGGAAGGGTCTACATTTTCCATCTGTGTTGGGACAGTGGAGATCGGAGGCAGTGGCCCGGAAGCAGAGGCCAGGAGACACAGGTGACCGCTAGTCTCAAGCTCCCAGAAATCCCAGTAGGGCCTAAGACTTCCTCTGGATGTGGAAGGTGGGGGTTAAGCCTAGCTCCTCAGCAGACACCTGTCTTCCATTGTCATAAACGAGCCAGCTGGTCTTACACCTGGACATGAGTAAGATAAGACGGGCCTGGTTCTAGAGTTCTGCACCTGCTCCCATTGGGTCAGGATGTGGCCAGACTGTTTTTGTTCTGGAATAACGCAGAGTCTAAACAAACCCTGGCTTAAAAATCTTGGAGGGCGAGTCATAGATCTGCCCTGGCTCCTCAGAGCCAGCCACCACTGGTCTGACTTTTAGGTATGTAATATCTGACCCTTGTCGGACTCTTGTAGGTAGAACTGTTTTTTGTGTCCTTGTAATTGGAGCCATATAAGCATCTGTGATGTAACAACCAAACAGCAAGAGGGCATAAGGAATACCAATGTTGCTGGGCAACCTGGCTTCGTTACCTCTATGGCTTTGATCAAGATGCTCCCCTGTGCAAAATTCCCTTGTCTTTCCTGGCCCCCAACCCCCACCCGAACTTCCCCTTCCTGTACATCAGAGAACCAGTAACCCCCCTTCCAACTCTGGCAACCTCGGTATCATGACAGAGAAGTGACCAAGGGTTTAGTATTAGACTCTACAGGTGTCACCCCAGGCAACTTTGTTTGCCTCTGTGCGGCAGTGTTTGCTTTTGTAAAATGCTTGGGGCAAGCAAAGGCCTCATGGATGGACTCATGGTGGTAATGAATGCACAGGGCACTCAACCCACTGCAAGAGCTTGATGGTAAGCCATTACCCACCTTCCAATCGCCTGACAAATCCATCTCACTCATCTTTCCCATCCCAGCTCTTTTAGTTCCTTCTCATTTAAATCTTGAATGTCCACTTGGGTGGTAAGTCTTATCTTGTTTTTGTTGTTGTTGTTGTTGTAATTTTTTCTCTGTCCCTCCTTCCCAGGGCCCACCTTCCGCGGACGCAGAGAGGACGAAGAGAGTTGGATGGGTTGGTCAGCGACAGCATCTCCCAGACACGCAGTCCTGGGCTTAAGAAGTCTCCGAAGAGCCAGTGCTGAGCCTCGCCTCTGTGGCACTGCCCTGCGGAGGGAGCCGCCGCCGGGCCCCATCTCCGGGGCGCGAGTGGCAGAACCACGCCGCAGCAGAGGCAGCCCACGGGGACCGCGGCCAGGGCCGGGGGATGGGCGCCCTGGAAGGTAACGGGGTGACCAGGATCCAGCACGCGCCACGCCGTACACCCCCGCCGGGCTCTCTCATCCTCCCACCGGGGGCCCCCCGCTAACCTCGCCGATGTCCACTGCAGCTTCCGAAGTGACAGGCACGTGGGCCGCGGGGGATGGAACGTTGGGGCGGGGGGCGGGGCTGCGAGGGCGCTCCGCCGGGGAAGAGGGGCCCGCGCCCGCGCGTCGCGCGCCGGCTGCCCGGCGACGCCGCCAGGAGCGCGCACGCTACTGACGTCACGCGACACCCAGCCAATGAGCTACGGCTGAAGGGACGCGCCGTCCCGCCCCCCTGCGGCCGCCGCCGCCGCCGCCGGAGAACCAGCCGCCTTCGGGGAGCGTCTGAGGAGCCGCGGGCGGCTGCAGCCTCGGGCATCGCGCGGCGCCGGCCGGAGCCTCCGGACGAGGCCCAGGGAGCAGCTCGTCCCGACCCCGCCGCCCGATGTCCTCAAGATGGAGGCAGCGGCGGCGGCGGCGTGAAGGGAGCCGCGCGGTGGGCGCGGGAGCGGCGGCGGCCCGGGTCGTCCGGGCGGCGGCGGCGGCGGCGGGGGCGGGATGGGGCTGCTGCTCATGATCCTGGCGTCGGCCGTGCTGGGCTCCTTCCTCACGCTCCTCGCGCAGTTCCTGCTGCTCTACCGCCGGCCGCCCGAGCCGCCGCCGGACGAGGCCGCCCGCGCGCGCGACGGCGTCCGCTACCTCAGGCCGGTGCCGGGCCTGTCCCTGCGGGAATACCTTTATGGCGGCGGCGGCGGCGGGGCTGAGGAGCCGGCCGGCGGGGCCCCCGAGGGCGGCGCGGCCCCGGCCCCCGAGACCCCCGGGCCGCCGACGCGGGAGACCTGCTACTTCCTCAACGCCACCATCCTGTTCCTGTTCCGGGAGCTGCGGGACACGGCGCTGGCCCGCCGCTGGGTCACCAAGAAGATCAAGGTGGAGTTCGAGGAGCTGCTGCAGACCAAGACGGCCGGGCGCCTGCTGGAGGGGCTGAGCCTGCGGGACGTGTTCCTGGGCGAGACGGTGCCCTTCATCAAGACCATCCGCCTCCTGCGGCCCGTGGTGCCCTCGGCCGGCGCCCCCGCCGCCGCCGCCGCCGCCGCCGGGGAGTCCGACGGCCCGGACGCGGGGGACGCGCTACCCGCCGCCTCCCCGGAGGAGCTGGCCTTCGAGGCGGAGGTGGAGTACCACGGCGGCTTCCACCTGGCCATCGACGTGGACCTGGTCTTCGGCAAGTCCGCCTACCTGTTCGTCAAGCTGTCCCGCGTGGTGGGCAGGCTGCGCTTCGTGCTCACCCGCGTGCCGTTCACCCACTGGTTCTTCTCCTTCGTGGAGGACCCGCTCATCGACTTCGAGGTGCGCTCCCAGTTCGAGGGGCGGCCCATGCCCCAGCTCACCTCCATCATCGTCAACCAGCTCAAGAAAGTCATCAAGCGCAAGCACACCCTGCCCAGCTACAAGATCAGGTGAGAGGCGGGGGGGGGGGGGGGGGGGGGCACCTACAGGTTCTGGGGGGCAAAGGGGGGGAAGGGGGTGCTCGCTGCAGGGATCGGGCTCCGGCTGCCTGCGGGAGTGGGAAGGACAACGGCTTCCCCCCAGCTCCTGCTCGGCCAGGGATCTCCCAAGCCTGGCCCAGAGCCCCAGGGAAAGGCCATCAGCGCACCCCTTTTCCTGGAAGGGCACTGCTAGGAGCTGGGAACCTTCTTTTTTTTTCTTCTTTTTTTCTTTTTTTTTTTTTTTTTTTTTTTTCGTGTTTTTGGGCGCCCAGGGTGCTGTCAGGGTGGGTGCAAGCAGCGTACGGAGGGTGGAATGGCGGGAAGTCCACCCTCATCCCCAGGAGTTGGCTCTGGGGCTGCGGAGGAACCGGATGTGGCTGCTGCATTGAGGCCACTTTGCAGCATCGCCTGGGCCGCGTTGAGAGATCGCCCCTGGTCACGGAGTGCGGGCAGGAAGAACGTGTGGTGCCCAGGACTGTTAGGTTTGCCGCTGCGGGCCTCTTGCAAGAACAGCTTTCAGGGCAGAAGGTGGTGGTAGCTTGTCAAGGAGAAACGCGTTGGGATACATATGGTCGTTAATGCTGTCTGCCCTTCTGGAGGTTCTGTAGGGCAGACCCACCCTCTGCCCCTCCTGTGTCACCTCTAGGGCTGCACGTTCCTCTCCCAGGACCTGACTCTCACCCTGCAGGTGGCATGTGAATGCTAGGTAGTGATTTTTAACTTCTAAAGCTCCCCAGTTTCTGGTGGCTTAATTTTATGTAGTATACTGTGTTGATTAAGGTACAAGGTCTGCTTTTGTTCATTTGAGGTTTTTGTTTTAGTTTTTAATGCTATAGGAGGAGTGGAAAGGAAAAGGAAGTTTTGTAGGGCCAGACTTTGGTCTGGAAAGGATTGTTGTTGGAGTAGAAAGTGTCATGCATGGCTGTTTCTTCTAAATAATGGCTGAATATTTAATTTCACTTTAATTTTGTGTTCATTAAAATGTTTGACTCTCTTGGGTTTTCTCCGTTCTCATAAAACTAGAGGCCCCGTGCAGGCAATCGTGCATGGCAGGGGGTGCGGGGGTTGGGAATAGGCGGGGAGGGTCCCTCAGACCAACCTGCACCCTCTCACAATCTGGGACCACTGGCTCCTAACTGCTCGCCTGCCTGTCTGCCTCATTGCCCCTAACCACTCTCCTGCCTGCCTAGTCACCCCTAACCACCTCTGCCTCAGCCCCGTTGTGGCTTCGTCCAGAAGGACATCCAGAATGACGTCTGGAAGGTCATCCTGTTGGCGGTCTAATTAGCTATTACCCTTTTATTATTATAGATTGTTATTATAGATTATCTCAACCTGGTATTTGCTCTACCTATTGCTGTTAGTGGAAGTTGCCTATTTCAATCTAGATCACTAATTTTCTATCAGTCTCAAACATTAGTGACCAAGATAATGCAGAAATATTTATGCTTGGGTTTAGGATGGGTTATTGACTTGTGTATGTGGCAGGTTTCCCTTACTAATTATGTCTTGTTTTAGGCCAGTGGTCTTCAAACCGCTGGAGAGCCGTGGTTTGCCGCTCTGTTGATGACTAATAAGTTTGCCGACCACTGTTTTAGGCCAATAGCCCAGAGTAACAGCTTAAAACTAAAGCTATCAGGTAACTGGAGAAGTTTACTTTATAATGGAAATACTTCCATACATTTGCAGAGGATGGTGAACTAGTTGTTCACCATGTTTGATTTCTTGTTCTGTGAAATTGAACATAGTTTATGGAACCTGCTTTAAGCTCTGTAACATAAGTGACTAAATTATAAATGAATTCTAGTGTTTGAGCAGTGAGAGGTTTATAATAGTGTGAGGTTAAGAAACTCATGAGAAAACTTTTTGCAGATTTTGATATTCTATCATAGTGTTGGTTCTGATATTTTCTGGGTAACTCAGGTAATAAAAATTTGACTGGCTTATTATATGGGGGTTATTTGCAGAATAATCAGCAGTGAGGCTGCATATCATTTTTAGGATTTTTTTTAAACTTAGAATTCAGTTAAATCTGAAGGAAATTATGAATAGGAGTTATGAAGCCATTAATAATAGGTCTATTACTTTGAAGGAACTTAATCATCTATCATTGAATAGCATCACTATTTGAAATACAGGTAAATTGCTTTCATTTACTTTATCTGAAGAATTTTTAAAAAACAGCATGCATTTGGTTATGTATATTTCAACTTTTAAACCTTAAACAGAAATGTACACATTTGTGTTCTTTGTATTAGAAGGCATTTCAAAGATCAATCAGTAATTACTGCACAGAAGGTATTACTCAATCTGTAACTACGGTATTATTGTACACTTACTATGTGCTTATTGTCCTAGGTGCTGGGGCTTCAATACTAAATAGCTTCAATGATTGAGGAGCTTGAATTAGCTTACCTAGTAAGATTTAAACTACAATGTGATTGATGGGGTTGAATTCACGAGGAAGCTGATTTTAGTTTAGTAAGAGAAAAAAGTGTGAGGATAAAAAGGACTGTTTTGAGGAATGTTGAGATCTCTTGTCTGTGTAGCTATTCCACCAGAAGTTTTTAAACTAGTATTGTGGAATGGATTCAAATTTCAGCTAAGAGAATGAATTAAGACATATTTAAGATGTATAACAATTCTAATAATGAGAGTTAAAGTAGCTAGTGTTTATTCTTTTTTATACTTTAGGGAATAGTGCTCAGAGTAGTTAAACAACTTGCTTAAAGTCACACAGCTGTCAAGTGATTAAACGCAGCTCTGATAAAGCCAAGCTGCCACCTTGTTCACAAGGGATTATATCTTGGGGCACTGCCCCATATAGCATTTCTTTTTTAATTCAGCAGATTTTGTTTCCAAATAGGTCTTGCTAGTTTATCTTTTTTAGCCATCTAATCTACTTAGTGGAGAGCTAAAACAGTAAAGAAAATTGTACTGAGTCTTAGAATCCTTTGGCACTGTTATTATATATTATGTAACAGAAATAACTTGCCAATTAACATTGTTGTTACTTCTTCCCTCTGTTTGTTTTTCCATTTTCATGTTGTTAAGGGAAAGGTGGCCATCAGGATGGCCAGTTCCTGATGTCTCAGCTGGTGCTAAAGGACCCAGCTGATTGACACTTCATGTTACCTATTTAACACAGTTTGTAAAACATATTTTTAAAATGAGTTTTAATATATACATTTTCTACATATTATAATTCTAATTTTACTAATATAATTCTAAATTAGCCACCTCAATACTAATAGTTCTGATTTTTTTTTAATGTGTATTTTAAAAAATAATAAAGTACTGGCTGTTTTAAAAAATTAACCCAAAAATTAGTCTTCAAAAGAGAAAGACTACATGGAGAATCTATGAGTATAATAGTCCTAGGGTGTTTAGGTCTGGGATGCAGATATTTGAACTTCTTACTAAGGCTTCTGATTTTAGAGTATTATTGCTATGTAGCTAGCACTGGTTATATACTGTAAGGCCAAATTCAGTATGCAGATGCATTTTATTTGGCCTGCACTATACAGTGTTTTATTGTTTGTTTCTTAATTGCCAACATTTGAAAATGGAAGTTTTTCCTGATTTGAATTTCGGGCTTCTCATGAAAAATTGGGAGATCTTGTGGCACCAGGACTGCATTCTTCATAGCAATAACAGGATGGAGAGATGGAGGCGAATAGCTGCAGGAAGCTTTTATGCATAGTTTATAGTTCCTACCTGCTTACTATGGCACTTGCCTGGCCTATCTTCATATAAACTTGAAACTCTTACTATTGCTAGTCAGTGATAATTTTTATTCCTCTTTAAAGATATTTTTGAAGGGACTTTCATTGAGCATTTTGTTTACTTATTTTTAAACATATTTTTATTGATTTTTTAGAGGCAGGGAGAGGGATAGAGAGATAGAAACATCAATGAGAAAGAAACATTGATCAGCTGCCTTCCATACACCCCTACTGGGGATGGAGCCCGAAACCTGGCATGTGCCTTGACCAGGAATCGAACTGTGACCTCCTGGTTCATAGGTCGAAGCTCAACCACTGAGCCACACCAGCCAGGCTTAAGTTGTTTTTAAAAGTTACTTTTTTTTTTTTTTAATATACTTTATTGATTTTTTTACAGAGAGTAAGAGAGAGGGATAGAGACCTGCAACCAAGGTACACGCCCTTGATCAGAAGCGAACCTGGGACCCTTGAATCCGCAGGCACTCTATCCCCTGAACCAAACCGGCTAAGGCAAAAGTCATTTATTTTCATTGGCTACTTCCTGAAGGCTACCACTACCTACTGTTGGGGTGGGTATGGTGAAGGTGATAAAAATAGTTATAACACAGTTTTATGCTTTCTGGGGAAAACAAACAAAGCTCATTAAAATGGCACTTGAATATATTTAAGACCTTCAAATACATGAGAAACAGGAAGAGCAGAGCAAGGATCAGTAACTCTGCTAAGGCAAACACCTGCTTACTAGGTGTAGTATAATATTTTGTGACCTTAGGTTCCTTGGTGTATAAATATAATCCAATAAATTTTTATTGCTGGTTTTACTTCTTGAAAGTTGAGTTTTCTTAAAGCTGGTTTGAATTAATGTGATTTAGACATTTAAAACACTTAGATGGGAAATAATGAACTGATCAACTAAATCTTTGCTTTAGAAATTTGATTTACACTTGAAGGGAGAATAATTATGAGGAGACTGTTAGATTCTAATCAGCAATGTACAGGTCTCTTGGCTTTCCAAAAAAGCCCTAGTTTGTTCCTGAAAATAGCCAAAGGAGATTATTGTGACATCAGTTGTATTGGAGGAACATGCCTAGTCAAACACTTAACATGGACTAACAAATATTATTATTGATCCTCCTATATAATAAAAGACTATCAGTTGCCATGATGTGCACTGACCAACAGGGGGCAGATGGTCAGTGCAGGAGCTGCCTCCTTGTGGTCAGTGTGCTTCCACAGGGGGAGTGC